GTGCAGTTTATAATTATTAAGGTTTAAGATGTTAACTGTATGTTTTACAAGCTGATTTCTCAGTTACCTGGTGACATGGCAACTTTCTACCTGATCTGGGAGATGCCGGTGTAGATGTGGCTTAATGAAATTGTTTACCGTATTCTTAACGCCGTGCTGTTGGTGTTTGTTTAATTCTTTGTATGTGCTGCATGTTTGATAAAAGTCGCTGCTGTATATTTGTGGTATGGTATTTATTTTCTACCCATAGCAGTTTGTAAATCAATTTACTGGTTTTATGAAATGGGAAAAGAGATGACTTTGTCCTCTTTCTCACTCTTGTTTGCATGATTTACCAAAGCACTCTCTAAGATGCTCATCATCTTAAGGGGCTGCTCTGGGCCTTTGGAGAACACAAGCTAGTGAAGTGTATTGTGGATTTGGAGTAAAAATTGTAGTTTACATTTCCCAAAGCACCAGAGAGCCTAGCACTTAATTCTGAAATAAGTCATGCCTGTTGTTATACTAGGAAAAATATTACATCTTCCTGTAGGAAAAAAAAAAAAAACCTTTACGTATGCAGTGGACAGTGAAAAGATTTGGTAACAGCGAATTCGATTTGACTCCAGAGATCTGCACTTATAGAATTTAGTAGTAGTTAAATGTATTGTTTTCTTGGATTTGTGGCTTCTGGTCAGTCTGCGGGTTTCAGGAGCACCCTTTTGGTCACTTCATGAAAGTTTTATTGGGCTGTCAAAAGCCATTCTTCAAAATTGGCATCACTTGGGAAGATGTTGAGGACACCACCGGGCGGCTGGCGCAGGCCAAGAACGCGGCGCGAGGTGTAATTTCCTTTTTGGCGGCGTTAGGTTGCGTAGGTAAAGTTGGTAAATGAGGCAGAAGAAAGGAAATGAATGAAATGGTGATTTTTGTATTTAGTGCTTGGATATCTGCCATGGCTTTGCTGCTGTTATAGGGATAACATGATTAAACGCTTGCCCTTTTAAGAGATTTATTAATTTTTAACAAAATTAAATATGTATATTTTAAAGCTAGAAAAACATTTCGGTACAAGTTCATGTTTGAAAAAGCAAGCCCGCCGAGACGATTTTATGCAGGAAGATGTTAAGCTAACCTCAGGAGGCAGATTTTCTTAAAGAAACTTTTGCAATCAGTGTTCAGCATCTTTTATATATGCGATCCTTGCAAATGCAGTGTTTTAATAGGTTCCAAGCAGGAACCCAAGAAGCATTTTTAAGGCGTACTTAGTCTAAGATACTAAATTATCTTTCTTTCAGATGTCACTTCAGTTATAATGTGAAGTAATATCATTAAAGGAAACTTCCTTTACTATTTATAGGGCTTGATCTTTCTTTTTTTTTAATGTCAAAATTATTTATTTGGCCTGTTCTGCTCCAGATGTGACTGTTGAGGGCACGTTAATTTATATGCCGTTTCCGTGGGCCCCTGTCCCCATCTGTACATCATTTCTGAATTTCTTTTGCTCCCCGGGGAGTTCACCTATTCATGCTGGAGGTTTCATTTGCTGTGTAAACAGAATAAACAGACAATGCAAAAATCCCTACAATACTGTAAAATAATTCTTTTCAACAGCATAGTGGATCATGTTTAAGAAAACATTGAGACGGCGATACATGCGAGGCAGCAATTCCTCTGTTTATTGCGCTCCTGAGGGAAGGCTCGTCTTACTGCCGTGTGTTTTCCCAGGATTTGATAAGTTCATTTTTATTAAAAATGTACCTAAAACTGCATTTTAAGGTAATCCTAAAATACGTTGCGTTTTTCCGGCGGTCCGCGCCGCCCCCGGCGCGGCGCGTTGCGCGCTTCGGCAGCCCGCCTCTCTCTCGCGCGTGCTTGTAAAATGGAGACGTGGGGACGCGCTTTGCTCGCTTCGCCCCCTTTGTGCGAAAGGCAGGAATTAAAGAAGGGTGATTTTTGACATTTTGCGAATAAAGAGGGATGTGGGTTATTTATGCTAGGACGTTGCCGCAAAGTCCTTATCTCGGTGTGGCACTAAACAAGGATTTGTTGTGGGATTTGGGAGGGCTGTGCAGCGCTTCAGTGTTAAGCACCCAAAACTCTGGGGGACTGGCACTAATTTCCTCTCTCTCGTAAAACAACATAGTATTCATAACAACTCAAGAGGCTTGACATAAGTAATGATGGCATATGCAGGCGAAGATTACCACCCCAACAGTGTAATCAAGGTGCGAGGTACTAATGCAAGTTAAATTGAGACAATAACGCTGAAACTTGCATTGTGGGATTAGGAGCGCACTTGAAACGCTGACATCGGCATCTCCGCCACGAGCGCCCCGTCTTGCTTTCCGTTCCTGCTTATACTTAATGACCTCCAAATTGGTATGTCGTTAACGCCGCGGACTGAAGTGGGCGAGAACAAGGGCCGGGAGGGAGAAGCCTCCCCCGTCTTCGTTGACTCTTGGCTCCTCCGGTAATTGGTGGCTCCCGCGGGCGGGCGGGCGGCCGGCTTGCAATATGAAAGTCGTACGAAAAGGTGACGCCCTGATCGGATGTTGTGGCGCCCGGGTGATTAAAGCGGGTTTGTTTATTTGGCTCCTTATAAATAAAAAGGGCGGAAAGCAGACTAATTACGCGGAGCCTTCCGCGAACCGTGCGATGATAACGGCGGCAATTTAACGTGATATTAAATGAGAATTAATAAAGGAATATTGAGTCACTTGGACTGTATTAAGCTGTGTGGAATGATTTCTTATCTCAATTTAACTTTCGGTCCACGGTTTAAGGATTGATAAGCCTTGCGTTTCCGTGGAGGTAGTCTAAAGCAGTAGTTGAGCGCTGCTCTGAGTTAATAACAGCAAAGCCTTTTGCCGCGGTTTAGCGGCGCATCGAAAGGGAGGCTTCCTTGCGCTGCAGCGTCGACGCCTGGCTGGTGCAACGCGCTAGTGGGTTGCGCTGTTCAGCCGCGCGGGTCTCTAAAGGGAGTATTCGGAGACGCGGTTCACCCTGCGAAACGTGAGTTTGGGGCAGCTCCTACTGACGGGCAACAGCCGAAGTTGGCAGCTTCCCCAAACAGGCCTAAAACAGGCTTTGGCAGGTGAAAAGAAGGTAAAAGTAAGTCATCTTCAAGTGAAGATTGAAGCCGCATTTAAATCCTGGAATGACGATCGCAATTAATTGTGCTCCTTTAAAACGACCTCCAGAGAATGGCGTGATGAAAGGACACGTTGTTTTGAATATTTCACCTTTAGAATGAGACGACCTTGATTTACTTCCCAAAAACTGTTGTCACCGCTACCGGCTTGCGAGTCGGCGTGAACCAATTCAATCGGTTCAATGGGAGAAAAAGAACTTTTAAGAAGTCTTCTTAAGCCGTGAAGCGGTTAAAAGGGAAAGCGCACCCTTTTGAAGTGTCGGCAGGTCCGTTTTATCTGTGTGATTAATACATTTAAACGCGTTTAATTTTTTATCTTTTGTCACAACCACTTCTGCGCAGCTGCTGAGCGGCCGTGCGCGGTGTTGTTCTGGACCCGGTGTCATCTCCACGTTAGCATTTCTGCCCTTTTCCCAGGTTCAAAGCTCTGTGGAAGGTCAAGACCTCGCGCTGAGCCCTTTTTTTATATATAACAAATTGCCGGTATTGTTCATTAATTTCTGTCTTTGAAATGCCATGTCAAACCTCCAAAGGAATTCACGGTGCCAGTGTCCCTTGGACAGCTTCTCACCATGGTCCAGTGCGAGTTTCTGATGAAATTACAGGTGCAGGGAAATGCAGAATTAGAAATATATCTGATGTTGCAATACTTGCGAAGCTATAGCTGTGTTGATGACAGGACAATTCCGTTTTTGACAGTTTAATTTACTGTTGCCAGTGGACAAGAGCAAAAGGAGAATGTGGGGTTAGCCACCTGCCCCCTCATGCTGTGTTTCACATGCTAGGTTGCAAAATCATGACTCCCTCAACCTGTCGTGCTCAAATGAGAAGGTTTTCAGCTGGGAAAATGGAATACATCAGTGCAGGTAATATTGCCTGACCTCATAAAACAAAAGGAAAAATTGCAGATTCTGACAGCCATTATGAATCTTGGATCAGCATCCAAACGACTCCGAGCCGCCCTACACTACATGTTTATAATAGGAAAAAAAACAGGGTTGCCACATTGACTTGCAATATGGAGCAAAAAATGACTTGTCAGTAATTCGTCCTCAGATGTTAAAGAGGCTGTTGAATTTACTGGTATATACACAAAGAATGGTTAGCCTGGAGCACAATGCGGAAATAGCGTGCGCGCAGAGGTGGTCTGCTGGACTTACTCGCAGAGTTGCGCTGTAACGGGAGGTAAAAGGGGGGAACTGTCATAGCATTAAAGGACTGCGTGTTTTATGTAAGCTTTGTTGTTTTGAAAACCACTGAGCCTTTTTAATGGTGCACACCGTGAAAATACACACTCTGCTGCTCTTAAACAGCTAGCTAACTTTGGTTCTGAAAATCTTTGGGCTATGATGTTCTCTTGAAAAGCTCTAGTGCTGAGGCCTCAAATTGTATGCCCCGTTACGATTTTACTTCTGTTTAAAGAAGTAGCCATTTTATTGAATACTGTTATGTTCTCCCCAAATTAATTTTAAGTATGCCATAGCTTTTAATTTCTCTCCTACTTGTGCCTTCCCTTGTTTGATGTTGTAAATTCATGCATCTCATTCCTGTCTAGGTTTGTGTTCAGCAAGTTCTGAAAATAAGCATTTTCAGAGCTTCTAGTAAGCTAAGAAAATTAAGGATGGAGTCATTGCTTAGAAACAGATATTTACATATTTGAAATGTGCAGTGTTTCTGGTACCCTTTCGCCGATAGGGCCGTATTTGATGACAAGAAGCCTGCTAAGGACTTTTGGAGAAAAAGCGTATTAATCAGATTAGTTTAATGTGCTTTCCGTGGTATTGTAACTGTTTTTCTTAAGCTTGAAATTCCTCCTCTAGGTTTTTAGACCACGTATGCTAAAGATTCCTATCACTATTTTGAGCAGGCCAAGGCCTTTATACCGCTGCTCTGGTAGTGTTTTTTCCAGTTTTATGGGGGTTTTTTAACCACAGGTAAAGTTGCCTCCTCCTCTCCTCAAGGAGGAAGGCCGTTAGTTCCCCTGTGCTGTTTTCAGCGCTGCAGGAATCGCTGTCAATCTACCGATTTTCGCTTTCTACCAACCAGTATCCCATTTGCAAGGCTCCGGTAGGGCTTTCGGGGGGAGGGGGCGGGG